GGCCTTACCCGCGGGCTTATCATGAGAGGGGAGGCGGGAGGGGGAGGAGAGGAGAGGCAAGAGGGGCAGGGAAGGGAAGGGAGGGGGGGGGTTTCAACGGCGGGAGGGCCAGGGGGGGAGGGGGGAGGGGGGGGAGGGGGGGGGGGGGGGCAGAGGCGAAGGCACGCACCCCGCCGAGCTTTAGGCTGCGCAGCGGCTGTGGCACGCTCGTGCAGCCGGAGGCGACGACGCCCAAGCAACCGGACACGCCGCGGCCCCACGCATAGACCTCGCCCGCCCTCGTCAGGAGCATCGCGTGGCGGCTGCCGCACCCGACCTGCAGCAGCAGGGCTCCAGGAAAGGTGTGGGGAGGGTCTGGGGACGCGCCGGCGTGAAGGCTGCCGCGTGCGAACCGCGCGGATCTGCACGCCCTTGAGCGCCGGCGGCAGCCCGTCGGGAGCCTGCGGAGAGGGGCACCCACGGGGGTCGAGGAGGCACGAGGGGCCGGCGGCGGGCCGGAGTGTCTCGCGTGAGAGCTTCGCGTGTGTCTCGCAAGTGTCTCGGAAGTCTCTCAGACCTGCCTCGGACGTGTCTCGGGTGTCGCACGCAAGTGTCTCCGGAAACTCTCGCAGATGTCTCGGAGGTGCTTCAGGTGCTTTGGAGGCGTCTCAGAGGTGCTTTGGAGGTGCTTTGGAGGTGTCTCAGAGGCGCTTCAGAGGCGCTTTGGAGGTGTCTCAGAGGCGCTTCAGAGGCGCTTTGGAGGTGTCTCAGAGGCGCTTCAGAGGCGCTTTGGAGGTGCTTTGGAGGTGCTTCGGAGGCGCTTTGGAGGTGCTTTGGAGGTGCTTCGGAGGTGGCCCACACCTGAAGCAAATCTGGTGCGGCGACGACCCACGCGGAGCGGTCCGACTTCTTGTCGGCGGCGCGGCCCTGCGTCGAGAGCCAGTCGAGGCAGCCCCACGCGAAGATGGCGTCGCCGCTCGCTCGCTTCTCCGCCTCCGCCGCCTGCTGCCAGGCAGCAACCACCCCTTCGGCCGTCTGCGCGCCGCTGCCGCCGGCGCCGGCGGCCGCATCCCCGGCTGTTGTGGCCTTTCCTGGCCCCGCCTCCGCCCGCGCCGAGCTGCCGTCGGCGTCGCCGTCCGCGTCCGCCTGCCCCCCCCGCTGCCGCTGCGAGGCGCGGAACGTACGCCACGCCGCCTGCCACGGCTGCACGACACGCGCCTGCCGGTTCGGGGAAGGTTCCGGAAGGATTCCGAGAGAGACGGGCTCGGGAGGGTGCCTCCTTACGGGCTGCGCGGCGCACGCAGTAGCAGGAGGGGGGCGGCGGAGGCGCGCGCTTCGTCCTCGTGAATGGTGGGACGTTTGGGGGGAGAGGGAATCCAGAGGGAAGGATCCGGATCAGCTGCGCGCGCCTCGAACTCTTCGAGCAATGCTTCCGGAATGGTGGCGGTGCGGCTGCTCGAGTCCTCCGAATCGAGCCCCTCGAAGCCGAGCTGCTCGAGCACGCGCACCACCAGAGCCCACGCGCGGTCGGGCGCCTCGCGCTTGTCGATCGTGTAGTAGGCGCAGCGCTGCGTCGGCATGAGGGGCGCGGCGGCGCCGGCCTTCGCCAGCTGGTCCACCGATGCGATCTCGTCGCGGCGACACTTGGCGATGGCGTGGACCGTGCGCCCCTCGCGCGGCGGCGCGCCTACAGGAAAGCTCCCAGGCTAGCTCCCAGGAGGCTCCCAGAAGGCTCGAACCACAACCTCCCCTCGCGGCGGCGCCGGGTTCGTCACACATGCGCAGCGTGCGCAAGGTTGCCCAGTTGCCAGTCAGCAGGTCGAGCAGCAGCGCGGCGGCGTCGGCGCCCTCCTCGCTCGCCTGTCCAGGTGCGGCCGAGGTGCGGCAAAGGTGGAGGTGCGGCCGAGGTGCGGCCGAGGTGCGGCCGAGGTGCGGCCGAGGTGCGGCCGAGGTGCGGCCGAGGTGCGGCCGAGGGGCGGCCTCCCTGGCACGCCTGCCGCTTCAGCCGCGAGCCGGGCTGGCCGCCCTCCTTCTCGGTGGCGGCGCGCAGCTTGCGGATCAGCTCGTTGACGCCGCGTGCGTCGTACTCGACGCCGTCGAGCTCGTACAGCTTTGACGGGTCTCCCGCCTGGGCGGAGGGAGGGAGAGCGGTGGAGGGGGGGGGGGGGTCCGGCAGGGACAGCGGTGGGGGAGGGGCTCGGGAGAGGTTGAGGGGGGGGGGGGGCTCGACAGGACGACGATGCGGTCACGCAAGCAGGGGATGGCAGGGCGGCAGGAGAGAGCGCCTCCATCGAGTAGTCGGCGAGGGTGTGCTGGCAGTCGGCCTTGATCTTTGCGGCTAGCTCCGTCGTCCGCTTGGTGCCCTTCTCGATGAGCGCGTCCACGTCAGCGTCGGTGATTGCAGCGCCGTCCGACTTGAGCACCACGTCGGCGCCGAACTTGATCATGCCGAGCAGCTCCTCGCGTGCGGCGCCCTTCATCTGCACGGCGAGGCGCCCCTGCTCGACGAGCATGCGGTCGAGGTAGAGCTTCCGCTCCGCACGCTCCACAACCTTCTCCTCGAGCGTGCCCTCCATCAGCAGTCGGTAGACCGTCACCGGCCGCGTCTGGCCGATCCGGTGCGCGCGGTCCTGCGCCTGAAGATCGGCCTGCAGCAGGGCTCCAGGAAAGGTCCGGGGGGCGGTCTGGGGGACAACCCACCGGCCCGCAGTGTCTGCCTGCGGGTTCCAGTCCGAGTCGTACAGCACGACGGTGTCGGCGCCGGTCAGGTTGATGCCGAGCCCGCCCGCGCGCGTAGAGAGCAAAAAGACGAACCTACGCGTACGAGGACTCGAGATGGCCCGAGCCTGGCCCGAGAGAGTGACGTCGACCGCCCCCCGAGAGTCCAGACGACGCACTTGTTCGAGTTGTGCGCGTTGTACTCGCTCATCATGCGCTCGCGGTCCGCGGTCGAGGTCGAGCCTGCGTGGACATGTCGTGGACGTGTCGGGGACGTGTCGCGGACGTGTCGGGCGGTCTGCGGTTCGAAAGGCGAGCCGTCGAGGCGGCAGTAGGCGTAGTCGCGCCAGCGCAGGTAGTCCTCGAGAATGTCGAGCACCTTGGCCATGGTCGTGAAGAGGAGCACGCGGTGCCCCGCCGCCTTGAGCCGCTTGAGCAGCTTGTCCACCACAACCAGCTTGCCGCAGTTGGTGACCAGGTGCTCCCTGGGACGCGTCCGAGACGCGTCACGGACGAGCACAAGTACAAGCACAAGAGGCAGCCGCCGAAGGCCGCAGACCGCTTGGCGAGGGGTGTGTGGCGAGGCGGGCAAGCGCAAGAGGCGAGCGGCGGATGCGTCTCGGAAGTGTGTGCCGCCCACCCCTCCACAAATGGCGGCCCCGGCTCGGCGCCCTCGAAGAGGTACGGGTGGTTGCACACCTGGAGAGGGGGAAGTGGGGCGGCCACGATGCGGCCACGATGCGGCCGAGATGCGGCCGAGATGATGCGGCCAAGCTGCGACCGAAGTGTGGCCGAAGCGTGGCCGAGGGGCGGATTGCATCAAGAGGCGGGGTGTGGGCTGCGCACCTTCCTCAGGTGCATCACCACGTTGTGGATGGCGGTGCCGCCAGCCTTGGACGACTCTGCGCGCCAGGAAGGAGGGCTTGCATCCTCGGCTACCCCCTCGGCTACCCCTCGGCTACCCCCCCCATCTCCGGTCGGCTACCCCTCGGCTACCCCTCGGCTACCGAGGCCGCTCAAGTCGCGCAGCAGCACGCGGCGGTACCAGTCGGCCTGTGTGGACACGTCGCGGACGCGTCACGGACACCGGTCCAGGACACGCCCCTCCCCCCCCCCCCCCCCTCCCCGCAAGCGCGGCGGCAGCGACTGCGCCAGCGACTCCGTTCTCTCGCTTCAGCGGCCCGACGCGGCAAGAGAGGTGTGAGACGTGGAGACGACGGCGCCAATGCCCACGGGCACGGGATGGCGGCATCGCAACACTCGAGGGCAAGCTGCTCGCGGCGGGCGGCCGGGGAGCCCTTTGCCGGCTGGTGCGGGCA